GCTCCATGGTGTTTAAGCGCCTGCAGTACATAGAACGATCAGGAGAAAAAAGATTGACAGAATGGAATATAGCCCCAAATATTTTCTCCACTTATGGAAGATTTCTTTTTCTTCTTCCTCTTCCTCTTCCTCTTCTTCTTCCTCTTCCTCTTCCTCTTCTTCTTCTTCTTCATCTTCCTTACGGGTTGGAAGCTTTCCGTTTCTCATCAAACGTTTCGCTACCCCATCAATACGTGATTTTTGCTGATGAAGATATCGCAAATCTTGTGCCTGAAAATGGTCTGCTTGCCAGTTGGAAGTCAGAGTTCAGTTTCTCTCTGGATGATCACAGTACGTGAATTAATAGCTCTCATTACCTGCATTGCAGCTCTGCGAGCCGCCGATGCGCGTAATGCTAAGAAAAGATGACCCCTTCATCTTTGCTCGGGTGGCATCTTGAGCTTACGGTTTCTATCAAGAATGCCTTTTTCTGCCGTTGGCGTTTACATCAACCTCATTACCCCAGTGGAGAGTAAGCTCTAAGGGTATATGACTGTTGTAAAAGAAGCCCATTCCTTTTCAACGTCTAGAGTTATGCAAAGTATCTGCTTAAACTCTTCCCAGTGGTTTCCTCACTCCATGATCTTTCAAGAATTCCTACTCTAATTCATCTTCAAACTCCGGCAAATCCGGCAAACCTGATTCGTTGATCGACACGCTGTTTTTGGGCAGTCTCACAGTGATTTCCTGATAGGTCCGGTCAGGGGGGGGCTTCAGTTCATTTAAACACAAAACACGAGGGCGGCGTTGATCAAAAGAAAGGTTTACTCTAAAGTTAACTATCAAAAAATATAGGCGGTTATTAAACTATAGTGAAGGCAATTAGAGAAACGGCGAAAAACAGTAATTGCGAAGCAAACGAAGAAACTCATGAAGAAACGAAAAGAAATGACGATAGCAACAGTTGAAAAATGAATTATTGAACACGTGAAACTTTACATAACTTCAAGGATACGCATTAAAAGGACGCCCTAGCAGTTATTTGCAGATTAGCGAAAGAAACTGCTGAAACCAATCGAAGCATGAAGAAATTAAATCAAAGAATAACGATTAGGAAACATAGATTTTAGCTCTCAAAAAGCGGGTCTATCATCAAGTACAAGCGATGGAACCTAAAGGGTGTGGAAGATTTCCATAGAAATCTGTACAGCGATGAAAACAAAAACATACAGTACCTGAAGATAGAACTGCAGCTGACGATATTACAGATATTTTGTTGGAAAAACTGTGACATGCAATAAAACCGTCAAAGCGAGCAAGGAATCCAGGCGAACGTCATTAAAGGGAAACTCAAATGATCAGGAGGTGAAGCGCTGCCAGGATATTAAAGCGTCTCTTTTAATGCTCTCTGAAATAAGTGAAAATTTCAGACGATCTGTCTGGAATACTGCCTATAATCGTGTACAAAATGCGGGTGTCGTAAGTTTCAGACAGTCCATATTTCAGTTTTTCGGTCCACAGCTTAGATACTAGTCTGTGTTTCGAGAAGATGTACACTGGAACTACCAGCCAGAAGTTGAACATCCGTTTAAAAGAGCATCTTACCGTGGTCTACCTTGAACAGGCTGATAATTCCGTATTGCCCAGCATGCGATTACTGAAAGACATTCTTTCAGTCAGACCAATGTGTCTGTCATTGACAAAGACCAATATAAACTAGATCTGCTAATAATGGAGCGCTTGCATACACTGACATTGAAAAACTGGACGTGCAGTGAATACAAGTCTTCGGTTACTGTCAGTGAAACCTGGAGTCCAATCACAAGATTGATAGCAAATTTGGGTCAAAGTGACAAAGATCCGGTTTATTTTTATATGATGGTCATAATTTGTTCAGACAGTTTAGCAAAATGTTGTTTGACTTTGTGGTGAGCTAATTGAAAAATTACCATTGTTCGCTAGCTGGACACAAATGCCTTCAAGCTGTCATTTGTGTTCAGTCCAGTCCTGACGATGCTGCGGTCTGTGCAGTGAAACTCGTTGGCATTCAACGCTTTACTGTCTGCTACATCTGGTGCCTCGAACCATGAATCATTCAAACAACTGTGAAAATAAGCTAATTTATAATTTATTTGTGATTCACAATTAGAAGAGTTTGTTCACCATATTGGAACTGAGCTGGTGCGAGTTAAATGCACGAGAAGTTAATCCTTGGATCTTTGACCAAAGATCTGCTCAAGTTTGCTTCGATGATAATCGTTTTTCATCTTCTAACAGTTGTTCATTTGGAAGGCGTATTATTTTGTTCTATATTTATTGTCTAAGGACTTGCAAAGGCTAGCTGCAGATGACGCAATATTGCGGCATATTTTCACTATCAATCAATCATACCGTACAAAAAGAACTACAGACTGATCAATTTGTTTTGAATCATCTGCAAGATCTTCACGAAAGTACTGACGAACCGAAGTCACGAAAAACCGGACGCTGCCAAGCCAAAGGAGCAAGCGAGAGTCAGAAGTGAATCTAGTACGATGGATCATCTCCTAGTGGTACAAAAATTAAAATTATTCAGGCAATCAGCGAATATCAGCTTTCTCTTTGCCTGGGAATAACAAGAAAGGATCTGAAGATGAATGAATGGCTTAGAGTACAAAGGGGAATTTGCAAAGTCACGGTCTGAGGGAATAAGTCAAAGTCACAATAGGACGGACCCTTACTTAGACAGA